GGGGGGGGGGGGGGGAGAGTAGGGGAGGGAAGCGAGGGTTGTGCTATTCCGGCTCATCACCAGGCTCTGAGTGATCTGACTCCTTGTCCTTGTGCTTTTCCAACTTCGCTATGAGCTCTGAAAAGACAGCGAGAGTCAGGGCAAGGCAGAATGCTCCCTGGTTAGCATCACTGCAGGAGCCAGCAGCAGGACATGGGGCTGATGCCTGCAAGAAACTTACCCAGGCAGACTGCTGCAGTGACAGGTTCATTAGGTGCTCACTGGGGGTGCAAGAGGTGGGCACTGTACCAGGAGCCTGAGGGTGGGAGCCTCAACAGACAGAGGGAAATGTGTTTGCTATACCAATTTACTATTTGAATGCCCAGGCCCACCGAACCTGTAAATGCTCCAGGTCCAACCTAGCAGCTGCCTTGGGTTGTACTACTCAGCTAGCTCATCCCAGCCAGTGACCTTCAGCAAATAATGATCCAGGCCCTCCAGGCTGGGGTCCCATCTGTCTTTGCTCAGCTGCATGCTGAGGCAGGGTGGGCAGCTCTCAGTGCTTACATAGAGACAGGCTTTTCCAACTCCTTGGGTGGAGCAGGGAGCCCACGGAGACTAGTGTAAAGGGCTGTTCTACATCCAGCTAAGAGCTTTAAATGCCAGGACATCTGTATTTGTGGAACTGTTTGGCTTAAGAGAGTGGGATGGTGCCAGGCCAAGCTGGCTCAAGCAGTGGAGAGAAGCTATCAACACCTCCAGACTCTGCAGTAACATTGCAAGTAGGGTAAGAGTGGAGGCAGTGGTACCTTTGGCTGGATTAAAGACGCCATTGGTTTGCTTGTCGCACACATAGCAGCGTTTGGATTTGTGGTAGTGCTGCAGGGCACAGCCCTCACAGAAGTAGTGCCTGCACCTGCAGGGAAGGAAGAAGGGCTGGAGTGAATGGCCCTCATGGAACTGCAACAGGAGTTAGGCCCAGAGTCTCCATCCCCACAAGGTGCATAGAGAGGGAGGGTGTGAGCCTGCTTACTCCTGTGGGAGCTGTAGACTTCAATGTAAGCTGAGCTGCAAGCATTCTCTGTACCTGTAAAAGCACAAACTCCCCCAACAATGCTGGCCTGAGTGCAGCTCTTGTACAGACCCAGCAGAGGAACAGTCACAGCCTCCTACCAAGTAGCTAGGAAGTGCGGAAATATGACAAAGCTGGGAACTGAACCCAGGTGTCCTAGCTGTCAGCTAGGGCATTCCTAAACTGGTTGAGGCTTTAGAATGCCATGAAACACCTGCTAGTGAGGCCTGACCAAATCCTGACAGGCTGCCAGCATAGGCACAGAGCTCTCCCAGTCTGCGATTCTGGGGTTGATGGTTGAGCAAAGGGCTGGGAGCCAGGACTTTTGGATCCTCAGCTCTGCCACCACCTCCCCTCTTTGTCCTTGAGAAATCTCTTCAGTAATCCATGCCTCAGGTTTCCCATTTACAAAACAGGGAGATTGTTGCTTAATAAGAAAAAAATCACAAAGCAGGGGGAAGCTGCCAGAGCACGGTAACTGCAGTTATCACAATGGGTCTGGTACCCTGGGAGGGAGGGTGCTTTTGGGCACATCCATGGTGCTCCTGGAAGTCTTGCTGAGATGAAGGCACTCCTTGCTGCTACATCTCAGGAAGTGCCCTCAGCCTGGCTTTTCTAGGATAGGTACTTGTGGGGCTCACAGGGGAGTAACTCCCACGGTGTGGGCACATCCAGACTAGAATCTGAGGCCATGTCAGGAACACCCAATCTGACCTCCTGGTGCCATTAAATTCACCTCTTTCCCCACCATTACCCCAACAGAAACACCAGCGCAGGGTCTGGTAGGCATTGAAAAGAAGGGCAGGCTGCACAGGTGTGCCTGATTTTAGTGGATGCTGGCCACATTTGCCATGACAGCTAGTGACAAACAGACTGGGGAACCCAAAAGCCAGAGCCTTGGGTGTTTGCCCCAGGAGCAGACAGAGGCCCACTCACTTGGTCATCACAGGGTTCTTGAAGGAGCCTCTGCAGATGAAACACTTGAAGGGCATGTCGTCGTCATCACTGCTCACCTCGTAGTTCTCTTCATCTGCACAAGAAAAACTATTACCCAGATGGAGGCAACAGCAACTGAGCCCTAAAACCAGCCTATGCCTGCGCCATGAATTACTGAGCACATGGGCTCTGTAGCAGGTGGGATCAGTTTTATGCAGTAAACAATAGAGCTCTGGCATCTGGGTGTCTCTGATGTCAGCAGCTTGTGTGGGAATGAGATATAATTAGTTCTCATTAGCAAACATGCTTGCCG